CTTTTACAAATATCGAGCAGACGAAAAAATTGCATACATTATCACGTAAGGCCCGACCTAGGGATTCGTCTGGTATTCGTCTAGAACATAATCAACCAAATCTATATCATTATTTACAGTATCACATGCAATAAAATCATTTCTAGTGCCAACACAGCTATTCCAGTCACCATTTAAATATATTTCACCAACAGAATCAAAATAAGATATATCTTGTTATATACAGATCTATATCATGAACAGCGTATGCTGGTGATTCATCGCATCACAAATATATTGCACCATTATAAACATCTGCATCAAAATTGAAAAAACAATTTATCTAATCTAAGCCAAAATACTGTTTCGTAATGATTCCGCACTATTTCTGTACTATTTTTCAAATGAGATTTATAAAATATTGCAACACCGCCGCTAGATCTTTTCGCATTTCGATGATGAAATTTACGATAAAAATTGAAATTTTCAAAACCACTTAAATCGATAGTACTATTTACATTTGACCAGGTTTTATACAGAAAAACAATTTTATAATTCGTTATAATATTGAGAAAGTCAGCAATAATTTCTTTTCGTTAGACAGTCCATTTACATTCTAGGAAATAACACTAAGTTCATCCCCTGCAAATCTCTATTTCTCTTCCTCCCTGTATGGCATCCCATCTATAAATAGAGTGTCATAGGGTAGCCATGCCCTGAAGCTCTTGCTTCGTGCCTCTTTCATCTTAGGAATAAGTTTACTCCGCTTTTCTGAAACCTGTTTTGAGAACTGTTCATGGATGAAATACCTAGTGTTTTTAAGTGAGCTCCCTGCCTTTCTGACTTATTCCCGCTCCTTGAACAAATTAAACTTTGCAACCATGGGTCTTATTTTGCCAGATCTCCTCTAACCCATTCTGTGAACCCTTTCAAACATAATTTGATGCAATAAATCAGAGGCAATTCGTATTTTTGACACAAGAACATCGCGCACCAATAATTCTGTATTTTCCGGTTCCTCAAAGGGGGCCTCATCAATATTGCAAAACGCAATGTTGTTTCTCATTGACTGAGACTGCATAAACACTAAATCATCACTCAATTGCTTATTTCTAATTTTCAAATCATGCACCTGAGATGAAACAATTCCAAGATTAAAGTCTTTAGATTATGCTTTTTCAGACACACTATTAATTCTCTCGGACGTTTTCTTACTTTCGTCGTCTTGAATGTAATACATTACAACTTAAGATTATGCATGAATTGAAATTTATATCAAAGCTTAGCAGACTATCAGCTTATCATTATTATTTTCATTTTTATGCTCCCCGAAAATTTTCGGGGGAGCATATAGTCGGCGTCTTGTCCGTCTGTCCGTCCGTCCGTCCGTCCGAGCAAACATTTGATTATCCGTAGTTAAATAAAGAACAAAAACTCACAAAATTCAAATTAAGAGCTATTTTTATGAGCTTATTTTGCTTATGGACGTTGGTCCAGGTGGTGTTTATGAGCTGATTTGCCTCATAAACATCAAATTTTGGTATGTCCGTCTGTCCGTCCGTTGTTTTGTCCGGAACATAACTTGAAAACCCTTGGAGATAATTTGTTAAAACTTCAGAAAGTGGTAGAGGGCATTGAGGAGGAGCGCAGTGTCAAAGAACCATAACTCTGTTTTGCCCTGTGTTTGAATTATCTCCTCTTATAGAAAAATCTTTTTCGGGACATAACTCTAAAACTATAAGAGATATAAACATGAAACTTTGTAGGTGAATCGAATTCAAGGGGTAGATGTGCAGTGCATAAGAACAAGAACTCTCTTTGTCCTAATTTTGGAGTTATTGCCCTTTGTTAATTTTAACTCTAAAACAATAAAAGATATCAAGATGAAACATTGTAGGTAGATAGATCTCATTGAGTAGAAGTGCAGTGCAAAAGAACCATAACTCTGTTAAGCCTCATTTTTTAATTATCTCCACTTTTAGAAAAATCTTGTCCACGACATAGCTGTTAAACTATAACAGATATCAACATGAAACTTTGTCAATCGGTAGATGTGCAGTGCACAAGAATCATTATTCTGCCTTGCCTAATTCTTGAGTTATTGCCCTTTGTTTCTTTTTACTTTTTAAAGTTGTCCGGGACAATACTCGGAAATCATAAGAGATATCAACAAGAAACTGTGTAGGTTGATAGATCACATTGATTAAAAGTGCAGTGCAAAGAACAGTAACTATGCCTTGCCTTTTTTGGAATTATTGCACTTTGAACTTGTTCCAGGGACATAACTCTGAAACTACAAGAGGTGTACTTTCCTGTGTGGGGAGCATCACCAGGCTCAAACCGGGCTCTTGTATATAATTATAATTATTATATTAATTATTATCTTCATTACCAATTTTATTCATTTATTCATTTATTAGGTTTTAATTTTTATTATTATTATTATTAATATTATTATTATTATTGTTGTTCTAAATGTTCTTATTTTATCAATTTGTAAATAAATAATAAAATGACACCGTTAATCGCTTTTAACGCGTTGTATTATACAACAGTTGTCTTTGGCCTTTATTTACATGTAAAGCGCTTATTTTACCAATTTACCATAGAGTTAAATTATCCATGATGCCTTGATATTGTTATGTTTTTGTTTTGTTTTTTTTTTCTTTTTTTTTTTCAAATTTGCTTTGGACAGTTTTCAAGGTTTCTCTCCACTTGATCGAGTTAAGTGTGTGTGTTTTTCATAAACAAATAAGATTATAGCACGAGCGCGAGAACTGCTAGACTGGTTGTAGTCTTAATGTAGATGTTTGCTAATTTAAAATTTATTTGATGTAGTTTTTTTTTCGGAAAAAGTACGCATGCATGTTACGATCTTCGTTAAAGCAGCATGCCTCCATATTCATGCTAATTTTGTTGGGATATTTTAAAATGTATGAATTGGAAATAGATATCCAGTTTAAGTGCATTGTTGTAGAATAATGCACGGTTTGAGTTCAAATGCGTAGTAATATGATTACGAAAGCCGATAGGCCTGAGTGATTTATTACAAAGCATTTGAACGAAAAGCCGTGCTTTAATCTACTATAATGCACTAAGGATTAATATCTATTTTTGTTGAAGTTTGTTCTGGAAACTAACTAGAATGATATAAAATGGTCTTAATAAGAAAATAAATCAAAAACAAAATCTTTAATTTAGTCATCAACCCTGTACAGACGATTTAAGAGTTGTTAATGTGACATCACAATGTAGCGCCGAACTTTGCCTGCAAAACCGTCAAAACAAAGCCGCTATTTCAATGCAGCGAACCAGTAATTTCATATTTATTTTACAATTAATACTATGTATTTCTCTTGAAAATATAAAATGAAATAAAAAAAATAATAATAAAATAATAATAATAAAACCAAAACATACACACACCAATTATATGTGTATTGAACCGTGTCACGCGAATCGTTAGATAATCAATATATATTACTCCGCGCTGTAGCAAGCAATGAGATTCGTTACAATTTTGCTTTTAATAATAAATTTAAAAAAAGGTTCCTAGCTCGTGACAATATGTGGCATTTAATCATGTTGAGGGAGAATATATTCCATATTTCACTCCAACGAAAAACGATATTCTCTTAAGATACTGCAAAATCGGTATCGCACATAATTTTCTTTTTGAATTTTGACTCTTTTCATTGTTCTCGTAATCTAAGTACAATTTTCAAAAATTTTATTTTTCTGACAAATTTGTGTCGATATTGAGCTTCAAATTGTGTAAAAAAGTTAAATCTGGTTAAATGTTTTAACTTTTTTCTTTCCAGTTTCAAAAAGAAATACTTATCTCGCTATTCCAGAAGCACTTAGAAGTAATTTAAAACAGACCTGATAAACGCTTTGATCTAGCTTTTCCATGAAATATTTTCACAGATCCTGGTTCTGTTAAAAAAAAACACCACTCATTTCTAAATTAAGTACATGGAATTTCAACGGGATGTTCTGAATTGAATTATGTAAATAAAACCTTCGGACGCAGAAACGGAATTCGTCCAAAGAATGCTTTTTCCTCCCGTATTAAATTAAAGTTTTGAGTTGGAAAGTCTTGAATAAAGAAATTGAAGATAAATAAATAAATAAATATATAAATAAATAAACAAATAAATAAATGAATGAATAACTTAATTAAATAAAAAATAAATAATTAAAAGAAAACATGGTATAAAAACAGAAAAAATACTACAAGGGAAAAACCCTGTGTTATTTGAGAAGGAACATATCATGACCTTTCTACCTAAAGAAAAAATTTAATCAGGATAGCTGATTGGTTATTATATCCTTGTTATCATGTTCTTATTATCTTCTTGTCATTGAATTCATGTTCTAGTTATTATGTTCTTGTTATTATGTTGCTATTATCCTGTCCTTGTTATGTTCATTTCTTTATTTTCTTGTATGTCCTTGTTATAATGTTATTATTATTATTTATTGTTTTTATGTTATCATCAATATGTTTTTATTCTTATGTTCATGATTTTGTTAACATGTTCTTATTTGCTATGGGTCTCACGCTTTTCATTGAGCAAATCTTAGGTCAATCAAGGATCATGTTTACTAAACTTTGTAAATATTTTTTCCGAACATTTTTTGCTATACTATGTATTAAAATGCCTGAACAATAGCCCGATGCAGTTTTGAAAATACGTTTAGGAATTTTGTCATACTGTTATTATCTGGAATTTAGGGTTTATGTTTTTAAAGTGAAAAATGCGCACAGATTATACTCGTGATCCTCTTTTGAAAACATGTTAAATGCTAACCCCGTCTATATGCATTATTACTTGAGACATTTTGCGACCGCTACTGGTGATAAAAACTCTGGACCCGGGTCTAATTGTTAAACCGTAAACTCATCATGTACAGTTTTATATCAATCATATCTGGATGGAACACCTTAACGTTTGACATGCGGTGATTGTATTCTCAATTATGAGTATCCGGTTTCCGTATGATAAAACTTAGACATCAAACTTTATTCTCTTCACTCGGAAAGTTACAGAAATAATCGAAAGTTAAATGTACGAGCAAGGGAAATATTCGAAATGATCAGGTGTAAATACAGAGCAATTTTATTGTTTTTGTTATTAATAATTTACTGGAACGAAGTAGGGGCTAAAAGGAACAGGAATACCAGAAGAAAAGGTAGGCTTATGCATATCTTTTAAATTTTCTTAGGCGAAAAAATCCTCTTTTTGTTGTTTTTCCTAACATTTTTATTAATATCTTGTCACCATACACATTCTCTCATTGTAAGTTCTTAAAGGTATTATGTCGAATATTTTAATTTTGGAACCGAGGAAGGTTTTATATAAGAAACCGCATTTTAAGCTCGACTATTCGAAGAGTACGAATGAAAAGGAGAGCTTTCCTAGTCGGAGTCAATGTCGGCGGTGTAAGCACCTATGTTAAAATTTGCGGACCACCTCAATTATTTTCAAAGTCCATTGATATACTGCTTTGAAACTTTGAACATTTGTTCACCATCCATCATGCTCCAAATCTGTACACAGGAGGAGGTAACTCTTACAAGCATTTGACAGAATAATGACCCTTTTACAAATTAGAATTTACGTTAAAGTGTACGCATATTCAAATTCGTTTGACATATGGCTTTGAAAGTTTTCACACCTTTTCCTCACCATACCCCAAAACTGCAAACAGGAGGAAAATATTCTATCAAGCATTTTAGCAAATTTATGCGCCTTTTCCGACAGTATTATTAGGGCCGGATAAACGTCACATTCTGCGCATGCGTGTTGGATAAAATTTACTTTATTGTTATCCAATTGGCGTCCTTCAAGTCTTTTAAATGTAGATTATAAGATTGCAAGAAAAGCAATTGCAAATAGGTGTAACAAAGTTATAAACTCTATAATAAGCAATGCACAAACTGGGTTTCTAAAAAAAGGTATATTGTAGAAAATATCAGATTGTTATTTGAAACTATCGAATACTTACCAATTAAAAATGAACCAGGTTTATTAATTTTTGCTGCAGTTGAAAAAGCTTCCGATATTGATCATGGTTTTATGTTACAATGTTTTAAGAATTTTAATTTTGGTGAATCTTTAAATTATTTTACAATGAAAAAAGTAGTGTTGTTAGTAATAATGGAAACTTCTCTGACGCCTTTCTGCTACAAAGGGGTGTAAGACAAGGATGCCCGCTATCATCTCTGCTCTACATTACATGTATTGAATTACTAGCAAATTACATAAATAAAGATAATGATATAGAAGGAATTATTGTCAATGAAAAAGAAATAAAACAAATTCTTTTTGCAGACGATGCAAATTTTTTAAATAATGGTAAACGAATCTCGTTTGAAAAATCCTCGATGTTATTACAAATTTTTGACATATATCAGGTCTAAACTTAATATGAATAAATCTACTATTTTAAGAGCGGGGTCTCTTAAAGACACTAATTTAATATTTTGCAAAGATAAACACTTTAAATGGACATCTGAATCTGCAAAAAAACCACAAGGGATGACTTTTTCAAGCGACATTTAAAAAAACATAGACCTTAAATTGCAACCAAAACTGAAAAGTTTCAAAAATTGTCTAAAATAATTGGAACACAGAAAACTGACTTTATTAGGAAAAATCACAGTAATGATACCTTTAGCAATACCAAAACTTTATTATCCTTTTACTGTTTTACAAACCCGTCTGATGATATAATAAAGAAAATAAGAAAAAGACATGTATACTTTTATATGGAATAACAAACCAGAAAACATTAAAAGAGATGGAATAACAAACCAGAAAACATTAAAAGAGATATATTAGAATAAAAAATAAAAAAATGGCGGGTGTTAAAATGATAAATATTATTTTTTTTTAATTCAGTCAAAGCTTGCTAGGTCAAAAGATTCCTTTGAAATGATGGGGCGTGCTTTGATTTAAACATATTTATTCAAGCGCGATTGCGAAACAAGCTCTTGCAACTTATATTAATCCTTTTCGAGTCTGCTTCCTGGAACCAGCCAGTTCTGGTGTCATATGAAGAAACATGGTCGTGACCCGAGTAGGGCTCCAACCCATGATCTCTGGGTTGAGAGGCAGACACCTTAACCACTAGGACACCGCTCCCCTTAGAGTGTGCTTTGGAATGTTATATATAAAAAAAAAACATTGGTAAAATCTGGAGGAAGCTTAATATTTGAATGTGAAATAAATAATCGAGATATCAAAAATGCTTGTAAACACAGCACTTTTCTAAAAGACATTCTTATTGCATGGCATAGTATCAAAGTAAATGAAATAGATAGAAAGCAAGTTATATGGAATAATTGTAAGATAAAAAAATGCAAGTAACCTTTCTTATATGAAAGATTGGTATGGCAAAAGGTTTTAAATATATAGAACTTTTTTTGAACTTCAGAAAAGAAACAACTACTCTTTTGAGCATTTTAAAGAATTATTAATTTAGGAAATAATACATTTCTAAAGTTCTACCAAATCATCTCAAGCATAAACCCTAATATAAAGTTTAAAATTTTTTGTATCCCCCCGGAAAAACCTAATTTTTATGGATGTAAAAACACCAAAAAATAAAAAAAACCTTTCTATCTTTTTAAAAAATTTTAAAAAAGCAAAAATCTTTTCCTTTTTTTTTTATTTTAACTTTTTACTCTTTTCTTTTTTGGGAAAATATTTAAAAAAGCTGTGACAAGTAAAATTTAAAATAGAGAAAACATTCATTAAAACAAATTATAATATGATTTGATATTATAATGTAAATTTGTGAAATAAATGTATGTGAAATTTATGTAAATGTATGTCATAAAGGTATAATAAATAAAAATAAAATTAAAAAAAAAAAAGAATTTACTTCCGGCGGCCATATAAATTTTGTCAGTAGGTGCGCGGCGCGACAATTTTTTAATGTGAGCGGCAGCCATCTTGGACTCTAATGTTAACAAATGACATCATCTTTTTTATTTTTAGATCTCCCAAAAACATACAGAGCTGATTTGTAGACTCGATCTAGAGCTAATTCGCGTCCATTAAGGGTCAGGGAGTCGGCTAAAGACGGGGGCAAAATGCGTTTTTATGCACGAATGATTTTATGTACGATCGATCATAAGCGCTCGATAAAACATACAAAAACATTTCGTTTGATTCCCAACTTGACTATCCAAGGGGTTCGTAGGGAAGATTCTAAAAGTTCTCAAAATTTTTTTTTTTAAAACTATTACACTTTAAAGTTTATTTTTTTGTATCAGCATCAAAATTTTATAAAATTTTACTTTTCCAAAAAATTAATGCAAATTTTTAATGAAATGCTATTTTTTACCCCCGGGTGATTTTCCAGTTTTCCCTGGATTTTAAATAAAATTATGAATGGTTACTCGCGTTTTTTCCCCATCCTTTTAAATTTTGTTCAGAATTCCCCAAAAGACATTTCCCCCACCCCCACGGGTGTCAAAAAAAGGGGTTTAAACCAGAACGCCAGTGGTAATCTTACGTAGTACTGCTATGTGGGGGTATGGGTTTTTAAATAAAGATGATTCCCCTTCTTTTTTTAAATGCTTTATTTTAAAATTTTTGGGGGAAAGGGGCTTGTTTTGGGGTATGCCCTGGGTTTCCAAAATGTGGAATGATTTAATTATTATTTAAGGGTAAAATAAAAAAATATTTAAATTTTACAAGGAAAATTACAAATATTTTAGTTTATTCTTTTTAATACTAACGCATTGATTAATACTATTCTATTTTTTAACTTTTTTTAAACCCTTTTCCCACTTTTAAATGCACTAACGAAATATTATTTTTTCGGCGAGGGGAAACCTCAACCCAAAAAAAGATATAAGGGCGCGTGGGTTTTTGGGATTATATAGAAAGAATACCATCGTTTTTTAATAAAAAAACTTTATTATTTCTTTTAAAAATACCCGGGAATTCCCCCGATCTATTTTGGCTTTGGGGGGGTCCCCTTGCCGGTAATTATTCCAGAAAAAGGGATTATTTTTTAAACATGAAAAAAATTGTCAAAAAATTTAAAAAGTCATTTAAATCAAAATTATATTTTTCCCTTTAAAACGCGTGGTAAAATATAAATCGAAACTATTATTTTCCAGCGTAAAAAAGACCCGTAGTGCTCGGCGGCCATATTATTCTATACTTATTTTTTTTATTTCCATAGTCCATGTGTGCTTATTATTTGATTCTACGAGCTTAGCCACGTAAACTTATAAATAAACTCGTTACGACTTCATACATCTTAAGTTATATTTACGAATTCTATTACATCTTGTTACATCTAAATTTTCTACCTTTATCTATCGGTTCTTTTGTTAAAAGCGGTCTAGTAAATCACTTACCGACCGCTTAACAAGTCTGCAAATATATGAGTCATTCTATATTTTCGTAGCATTTTCTGTCCTACGGCCAAAACTTTGTATATTTATGAGATTTTACTGAAAATGCAAGTTCAGCTGAAATCTCATAAGTTCCAACAGTTTCCAGTTTTTTAACGGTTATATAAACCCTTGAAAAAATTATCAGAAGTGCAAATTAGAGCCTATTAGTGCTGTCCCTATACAAAAATAACAGCATTTGTGAAAATGTTACAAATTTATTGACAATTTAACTGTCAAAAACATACCCTTTCTGCATTTTTTATGTTAAGCCAGTCAACTATGATTTTTAAAAAAACCAAATTTACAACTTTTTTTTTTTTTTTTAAAAATTTTAAAATTTGCCCTTAAAATTTATGTCACTCCGTAATGTCATGATCAGAAAGAAATCTAACCCCCCCTTTTTTATTAAGAAAAAAAAAAGCCCTTTTAAAAAAAGTACCCTAATAGTAAAAAAAAGGGTCCCACGGGGGATTTTTTCGTTTTTTATTTTGGAAAATGAAAATACTTTTTACGAAAGTATGTGTAATTTTTTTTCCCCTCACCCCAAAAAAGAAATTTTTTTTTTAAATTGTAAAGTACTGTTTAAACATTCCATTAAAAATTTTGTAAAATATTTTTGGAAATTTTTTAAAGAGGGTTTAAAAATTATTGGGGATTTTTTTATTTTACAATTTTAAATTTTGAATTTCCATCTTTAACGATTTCTTTTTCAATTTTTTCCCCTTTTTGCCCAAATTTTAACAGTAATAAACACTTAAATACAATTATCAGT